TCTGTAGTTTTTTTTTTTTTTTTTATAGTGTCCGTTATAATGGGTGGGAAGCATTATTTCATTGTGGTTTTGATTTGCTTTTCTCTCGTTACTACCAGTTACTTCAAGCCTCTTCATGTTTATCAGCAATTTGTATGTGTTCTTGGTAGAAGTATCTGTTCAATCCTTTGCCCATTCTTTTAATCAGGTTTTTTTTTTGTTTTTCCTTTGTAGGATTTTGTTTTATATATTCTTCATTTTAATCTCTTCAGAGATGTATGATTTGCAGATATTTTCTCATATTCCTTAAATTACTTTTTCACCCTATTGATAGTAGGGTTTTTAAAAATTATTTATTTAATTATTTTTTTAAATTTGACCAGAGAGAGACATGGAAAGAGAGGGAAAGTGAGAAAGCAAGCCACTAGATCCAGGACTTGAACCACGGTTGGCCATGTGGGAGTGTCCAGTGCCTTAACCACCATACCACCTGCTGGTCCCCGATAGTGGTTTTTGATGTTCATTTTATATACCTCAGATTATCTATTTTTTCTTTTTTAACTAATTATTTATGGGCCAAAAAGTCGTGTGGTGGTGAAGGTGCTGGACTTCCACATGGCCAACTGTGGCTCAAGTCCTGAACCTGGTAGCTTACTTTCTCACTTTTGCTCCCTCTCTCGCTGGTCAAATTTAATAATAGTAATAATAATAAATTGTAAAACTGAATAGATAATTCTTTTTCTAATGAATTATTTATTTAATTTATTTGTTATTATTAATTCTCTTTAATTTGATGAGAGAGAGAGAAAGCAAACCACCAGGTTTGGGACTCAAACTGTGTCAGCCATGTGGGAGTCTAGCACCTTAACCACTATGCCACCTGCTGGCTCCTCTATTTTTTCTTTTATTACTCATTCTTGTCATTTTCAAGAAGTAATTGCCAAACCCAGCATCATAAAGTTTCTCCCTAACACATTCTCTTAATTGATCATTTTAAACTCACAATTATAGTTTAGTGTAACATAAAATAGGGGTTATTCCTTTATTTAGAAACTTAATATTCAACTAAACACTCCATGTTTCAAATTGAAGTACTATATTTTGTCTCTAATAACTTGAGCAATGTTTTGATTGTGCTAAATTCTGTTGACTAACCAAATTGCTAAGGCCGGCCCACAGTAAAGAGGAATTCCATAGTCTCCTTTTCATCCGTGGGGGATATTTCCAAGACCTCAGTGGATACCTTAATCCCAGGATGGTCTCAAATCCTAAACATACTATGTTTTCTTCTTTGTATGTTAGCTTGTCAGGAAAGTCACGACACATTTTTGCATTAAAAAAAGTGATTTCTCACTTTCTGTCTCTGTCTGGTGAGCACATGCGCCCTATAGCAAAAACCTCTCCAAAAAAAAGTCTTGACTTTCCTGACAACCTAACATTCCTGTGACAAAGCTTAATTTATAAATTAGACACAGTAAGAAATTAACAATAATAATAATAATACAATGGAAGAGTTAGAACAATATTCTGTAATAAAAGTCTTATGAACTTGGGAGAATAAAAGGAATAGTTATGGGCTTTGTAATTAGTTGCCGGGTTTTTTGCTCAGGAGTTAGACTCCCAGGCTTTGTACCCCACCTTTACAGCTTATGATTTGGGCAAACAACTTAACATTGCTGCACTTATTTTTTCCCTTCTGAAAATAGGAAATAGTAATAGTGTCTGCTGCACGCACAGGGCTTAGTAAGATAAAATGATATAACTCATGAGAGCACTCACTACAATATTTAGCGCATAATAAACTCTTGAATCTTACTCATTTGTGTATGTCATATTTTCCTTTCTGGAGTATAAGGTTTGGTTGTACAAAAAGTCTAGTTTCTCATAAATATGATTATAATTCTACCACAGGGACTAGCATATGGCATAGCGATAACGTCACTGGGTTCTCACACGACCAATCACAGTTTGAGTCCCAGACCTGGAGGCTTAAAATTCACACCAGGCTCATGTGCATATTTGTACAAAATCCCAAGAGGAGAATGGAGGAGAAGGGATTGCGATGTGACCATACCCCTGGGGGTTGATTTCTTGCTTTCTGCTTCTGTCTGTATGGCGAATGCATGCACCCTATACTGAAACTCTCTTTTTTTTTTTTTTTTTTTTT